ACCCCACCCTTGCTAACCATCCCACCCTCACCCCACCCTCCCCTGCCTCTCATCTACCCTCGTCGTCCCTTATGCTACTAAATATAACTCCCTTTGTCTCAAGTTAAATTACATGTTTATTATTCACAAAGTCAAACTTTATTCATTTTCTTGCTCTTTTTTTGTGGTAATTTGATAAAATAAAATAATCATGTCACCACTAGTTTTGTAGATCTTTTAGTGTAGTATTTTAATATATAATTTTTATTTTTTAAATTTTACACCATTTTTCACATAAAATGATTTGAAAATAATTTCAGTCAAACATTATAAACCAAAATAGGCAATATAAATTGGGACGGAAGGATTATTAAATTGTCTCAAAAAATCTTTTCCAATATTAATTGTCAAATATTAACAATAAAAACTAATTTTCTTTAAGAAAATATTTTTCTTCCTAGTAAACAATAGAAAATATTATCAAAAAATAAGTCTTTTAAGGACATACTAATGGTTTTCTATATTTGAGAAGTATTACAAGAATAAATCCTCAAAAGAATGGTTGGGGAAATAATTTTCAAATATTGAAGACAATGATTATAATACTTTCTCAAATTAGGTTATACTCCTTCCGTTCCTAAATCATTTACCTATTAAGTAAAACGAAGTAAAATCTCAAATTTTTTCAAATTATTTTATTTAAAGATTGATATGTAAATAAAAAATAAAATTCAAATATTTAAAAAGTACATAAAAAATTCTACAAAATAAGAAGTGACAAGAATACTTTCGGGAAATGTACTATCTTTTAGTCTTATATGAAGCAAATTTTTCAATAACTACTCTTAATAATAGGGGAAAAAGTTAGAGTAAATTTCATAATTGGTTCTTTATAACAAAGGGATTTCCATATTTAGTCCTCTATTATCAAATATTACCCCCGTAGTCCTTCATTTATGGGTGCCTTTCCACAAATGGTCCTTTTTTTATCTTCTGTCATGTTGGTATTAATTTAAGGGCTAAAAGTATACTTTTATATGGAGTATCAATTTTATGTCTAGTGACGTATATTAATATTGGTTAGGCGAATAAAACAAAAATAATGACTATGATTATGGGTTAGGATCCTGACAAAAGACCACACGTGTAGACTATGGTTGTAGTAGAATGAGACTATAATCACAAACGACGGATCAGGAGTGGCCTTTGGAATTGTATATGACAAAAAGATATATTATCATTGTGAAATTACACTTTTAGTATTCAAATTAACACCGACATGATAGAATATCAAAAAAGGACTATTTGTGGAAACGAAGTCATAAAAGAAGGACCATCGAGGTAATATTTGATAATAGAGGACTAAATAGGGAAACCCCTCTGTTATAAAGGACCAATTATAGAATTTAGTCAAAAAGTTATTAAAAAAACAAACTGGGGCGGATGATAGTTGCATAAATACAGATTAAAAAAGAAACATCTCAATTCTCTTTGAACTGATCATCAATATACATACACATCAACCTTTAGAGAAAAAAATGGAGTATGTTGTATTATTACAACTGTATGTACAAAATTTACAAACTATGAACATCAATGATGGCGGGGTTCTTTAACATTGCACACACACACAGATTATAAAGAAACAGACCAATTCCCTTTGAGAACTCATCATCATCATCATCACTACACACACAGACACATAAACCTATGAAAGAAAACAAGAAATCTGGCTTCCAAGATGCAGAAATCATGAATCAAGAACCCACCAAGAAACCGTCGACCCTCGTATTCTCCTTCCTCGACAAGAACTTCATGCAAATCGGCGGCTTCACCCCTGCCAGCGCAAGAATCGAATCCGGCAGGGTCCACATCCCATCTCCACATATCAACCCAGACGCCACAGCCGGTCCGAAAGCATCGGCCTTTTCCTTGTTTATCCTCTCCCACACAAACAGTATCGTGCTCCCGACGAACATGTCGATCGCAAAGTACCCTCCGATGTAGAATGGGATGGCCATTGCCATGGGGAGGGGAATGAACCGAGCTCTCTTCTTCCCCACCAAATCCCTTACCCCATTTATAACGATGGCCCCAGCGAAGAACACGTAACATAGCGTGAGGCAGTTCTTTGGGAGAGACGAGAACCCTTCGACCCCGAGAATTGACATGTTCCGGAAGACAGTGGCGTTGGGTGAAGGGTACTCCGAGCCGGTTTTGCCCAAATCCGGGAAGGCATTATAGAAGACCCAAAACACAAGAGGGGAGATCACGCAACCCATCGCGGTCCCAATGATTTGGCTGATGAACATGGACCGGGGTGAAGCCAGGGTCATGTAACCGGTCTTGAAGTCCTGGGTGAGGTCCGATGCAGTCGAGACGATGTTCATCATGACCCCACACGCGGCCAGCCCGGCAAGAACACCGCCGTGAGTGGCCCCCGCCCACGCACCGATAATGAAAATCGCAAGTTTCCCATAAGTCGACGCGAGCGACCAGTCCGTGAGACCGCACCCGTACGCGTTGCAGAAGGCCAGCAAGGGGGCAAAGACGTACATGACCAGAATGTGGTACCACTTGAGTTGATGGAAGATGTGTGGGAGTGTGATGGTTGAGATTATGGCAATCGAGACATAGCCAAGAACAGCAAACCATGTTGGGATTTGGTCCTTGAGGAAAAGTTGGGTTCTACGTTGGTCGTCAAAGGAAACAGTAGTAGGCTCCGGAAGAGAGGAGGGCCCGGCGAATGGCAATAAGACGGATTTATTTTTGTAAAATTGGTGATACAAGCCGTACAAGGTGCGGCCAAGGACTTTGAAGAAATTGTAAAGACCGTCCCCGAGAATCAAGGCAATTGCTATGAAGACCTGTGAAGAATGACATTTGAAGAATTAATTAAGCTGAAAACTTTGCCATTACCATAGAAAGAAAGAAAAAGAGCGAGTAAGGAATTAGGCATATTAATTATGTACCCTGTAACCTTGCAATCCATTTAGGTTGCTTGGACTTAGATTTGCAGGATACCAATCGCCTCTGCGTTTCCATAAGAGAGGCCACATTATCCCCCAGGAAAGGATTGCTCCAAGTAGCACCGATACATTGACTAGATGTGGACAAATCATCCCAACGCCCACATAAGTTGTTGAGAAATCAAAGTAAAACCTGGAAAGATGAAGAAGCAAAAGCATTAAAGTTGAGTGACGATCATTAGCCCGTGCAATTAAATCATCAAGAATGTAATGTACCTGTGTTTATATGCACCAAGACCAAATGTGGGAAAGTTTAAAAACCCACAGTCATCTCCTGCCTTAAAAAACCACTGGAAGAAGCCCCACAGGAAACTGAAGGAGAAAAACTTCCCAAGAGTTCTTACCTGTTTCCTGCAGCAATTGTTTAGTAATAATATGATGACGATGATTATTATTGGTATTGTTATTATTAATATGCAAATATTGCATTAGACTCACTTTGCCAGCTTAGCTCCCTGTGGAGTATGGAAACTATTTATCAAGTGAGCAGTGGCTGTGCCACTTGGATATGTGAGCTTGAAGTCTATGATCATAATCTGAAACAATTTATAAAATACCAATTTCATAAGATGACCGTATCGTGTAAGACGATTCTACAGCTACAAAAAAACGCTGCAAAGTGATGTGAAGATTAAAAAATATATTGGTGAATCAGAAATGTACCTTTCTAAGAGGAACAACTGAAAATAAGCCAAGAAAGCTGACAACAAAGAGAAAACCGATCATCCAAGCCACCCCTGGATTCTTAATGTTCTCTGCATCGTTAGCTACGTTTGTTTGCTTGGCAACAGCCTCACTCATCCCAAACATGTAGCTTCCAAAACCTCCTGCAGATCCAAAATAATTGGACACCAATTCTTTCAACTCAATGGCAAGATAATTTAATGGTGTTGGGACTGCGCGTCCCCTCACCCCAACCCCGCATTAGTATGATATTGTCCGCTCTAGGCCAAGCCCTCACGGATTTGTTTTTGGGCACTTCCCAAAAGGCCTCATACTAATGGGGTTGGGTGAACCTATATATTTTGGTTCATTTACTCCTACTCATCCGGTGTGGGACTTGGAGGAATCCCAACAAATGGTAATGGAAAGAT